GGTACCCGCATTTATTGAGTATATTGACTTATAATTTCTAATGCATTTTTATTCACGTGCTTATTCAAAATTTAATTGGTGATCACTATAAGAAAATGCCATTTTTGTGTTCCTTAATTAATACTGGTCCTAAGCTCCTTTTGTTATCCATTCTCATTCATAGAACATGAAAGTACCCACTTCTATTGACTTTTATTACTTAATTTTATTTTGGAAGCTTTAGTTCCCTGTATTTATGTTCTTTTCGGGGACGGTCTAGATACTAAAGCACTTGATTTATGCCCCAAAATTACTATTTTTATATATAAAATAAATAATTTATATAATTATTTCTTATCATTGATACACTTCTTCTTTTATTTTTATATCAGTGTTTAATAACTTAATTTCTTTCTCTCAATAATTAGTACAACCTAACTAATTTTCAACCAATTTTATTCTACTTTGTTGTTGAATCCTTTTTCTCTATTCATTAATTAGTCACCTAACTCTATTTAATAATAATCCAACTTATCATTTATTTTTTCTCACATAAATTAAACATTTTCTGGGTTCTCTTATTTCAGTTATGATGCAGTCAAGCACGCAAGTGTCGCAACAAACAAAGTTTGCAACGTCTAGTTTATTATTTTTTTGGTATTTTATAAAACCAAATTGTCTTTTTTTTTTCATTCTTCATACTCACTTGCCTATTTTGTCAAACACTTGTCCAGAGGCGGATTCAGGATTTGAACTTTATGGGCTCCTGTCTTAATCTCAAATTAATATACAATAATAACTAGGTTCACAGTTAGGTATTTATGTATAGTTAATGAATTTTTTTAATAAAAGATACATGGTCTATGCAAATGTTATTGCGTTCCCCCGAAAACCCATATAATATACTCTAGATTCTCCACTGCATTTGTCCTCATTAAATATTATATATACTAAATATATTCAAAGTTTAAGTAACATACATAATCCGTGTAAGTAATTTTTATATCACCATGTTACCTTTATCTTTTGTTAATATTACAAATCCCACATTTTAAGAAGGTTTACGTGTAAGTTTTCTTTAAGTGATCTAATAGGGTAAAAATAAACTCATATATTTAAGGTCTCTTATTAAGATTCGGCTTTAGGCCTCCCATGCTATTGAGCTCCCCCCGGTTCTTTTTTAGTTGTATTTAATTTATGTTCTTTTTGTTGGGTATAGGAAGGATATATTCAACCACGAGTATTTACAGAGGCAAATTTAAGATTTAAATTTAATAATTTCAATTTTGTACTGAATTTATTGTACTATTAAAGTTATAGATTCAGATATAATATTTATTGAAATTTTATTACGTCTCTATATATATATATATATATATATATATATATATCAAAAGTTTTGAGTTCAAATGAAGCCGTAGCAAAAAGTCGAGTACCCAAGGTCATAGGTATTAGCTAGCCTAGCTTGAGCCAACTCAAGTGTACTTGTTGCTTTTATATCTATATTTATCATGACAAAGCTGTTGGAGAATTTATTTCTATGGTATTTTAGAGCACTTATCACTCAAAAGGCAACTTTCTGGGCCATGGAACATGGGAAAGAGAGAAGTTCTCATAGTGGGCGTTTGAACATAAGAATTATAAAATTAAAAAAAAAAGTAAAAAATATTTTCAAGTGAAAATATTATTTAAAAATTAAAGTTGTGTTTGGACATTAATATAATTTTGGGTTGTTTTTAAAGTTTTGTGAGTGATCTCAATGAAAATTTTGAAAAACAACTTTTTAGAGTTTTTAAAATTTTTGAAAAATTCCAAAATGTATCTTCAAGTGAAAATTGGAAAATATATGACCAAACGCTGATTTCGAAAAACTGTGAAATTTTTTCGAAAAATGTAAAAAATTTCTTATGTCCAAACGGGCTCATAATCTGTCACCAAAGCAGAAGATTATGTTTGGATTATTGTTACAAATCGTTTCATAATGCATCGTATTGTATTGTGTTGTATTGTTTGATGAATACAATGTTTGGATAAATTATATCATTTGTCGTCGTTTCATGATGTCATGCACCAATAATATGAAGAATAAACTTGCAATATTACTAAGAAAAAATAGGATACGAAGTAGAATTATTATATAAAAGAGTAGGATAAAGGATAAAATATGATTATTTAATAATAAGGAAGGGCGAGATGAGAGAAAAAAAGCTAACGACCCCACCAAACCAAATCTGTCGTTCCATAAAGTGACACTTTTTATCGTTACGTAACAACGGATTTAACGATACGATACAATAAAATTTAAGAAACAATCAAAACAAACAATATATTTAAGGTACCAATACGATACAATACAATAACTAACAACCGTCCAAACAAGCTGTAAGAAACTTATATTTTGTCAGCTTTTGTGTGCTTATGTTGTTGGAAATAAGGTTTATCAGGGTCACATGCAAGGTTTTCAATTTTGAGACATTTCACTTTCATATTATTGGGTTGTAACGAAATTCCAATAAAATAAAAGGGAAAAAAACATATATAAGAGGCAAATTAAGCGAGAAAATTGACTTAACCTTTTTGTCCATGAAGAAATCTTAATGAAAGTGAGAAGACAAGCTGATAGATTATTGCTTGATTAACTACTGGAGTATATAAAAAGAAGGTCACATACAACGGATGTAAATCAAATTGAACTCAACAAATTTAAATTATAAATCTACCTCTAATTTAGTGTTGCGTTTTATAACGTAGAACAATTATTTAAAGCTGTCCTGTTGTCAGCTTGCAGACATGTAGAAGCCACGTGGATAAATCTTATACGGTTAGAACTGCCACGTGGATATGATAACAACTATGATGACGGTTAAAAATAACTAATTTTCCAAATTCTTTGGAAGTAAATTTGTTTTTTTCCTTTCTAATTTTTCTTTTAGGTGAGGCTTAAGGAGGGGACCTATGTTTTGACCATTATGGTCCGGCTCTTTTCTGGAACCCGCACATAACAGGAGTTTAGTGCACCGAATTGTCTTCCCTTTTCAGGGAGGGGAGGCACAGAAGAGCTTGATAAGAATCAAATCTTGCAATACAATGTATACTAGTTATTACTTATTAGTTAGCTACGGCTCTAATGTCAAGTAAATTTGTGTTGTTTTTCTTCTACTTTTGGTCGTAAGAAACATGGAACACCAAATTAAATTTAACTCTAATAGTTATATGGTCTTCCCCTCGACAACTGTCGTCTTTAAAAGATGAGAACCATGTGGATAATGTCATACAAGAATTGTAAGGTGTACAAAACAAGGTGTTATTGCATAACACCCGTTTCATATGGCAATCAATTATTATTAGCTTTGTACGTAAATTGTAATTAAGCTTTCCCTGAGCGAGAAGGGGAGTCTTACAACAACGGTAAAGTTTTTCCGTGTGGCCTATAGGTTACGGGTTCGAACCATTGAATCAGCTACTGATGCTTGCATCAGGGTAGGCTGCCTAGGTCACATCTTCTTGAAGTGCGACCCTTCCTTATATCCTCTGTGAACGTGGAATATTTCATGCACTGAACTACCTTTTTTTGCCTTTAAGTGGTAGCAATCCGACGGAGACGCTTGCGTAGAAGAAAACTCAGATCAGTATTTGTGATTCTTATGGTTAATGCTTGATTTGATATAAATGGCTGGCGTGAATCATACGACAAATTTGAAAGGATTTTGGGTCAATTCAAAAATAAGTTGACTAATGTGTTATTGGTTCATGAATCATTTTCTGTTTTATAAACTTCTGAAAAATCTTGGACATAATTTGAAATAAACACGAGTATACTTGATTAGTTGGTAAATTTGATCTGTCGAGACAAAAAGATTATTTTTCTCTCATCAAGTGTTCAGTAAATAATAAAACTATGTGACAAATTAGCCTACCACTTTTATATGCCTCTTTTTGGATTTCTTCTCTCGATTTTTTGTATTCTTTTTTATATAGTAGATTGCTCATGTCCGTTTGTGCATATAGATCAATTGACCGAACCATATTAAATATTTGTGTCTCTTTGATACGATAATAGTTAAAAGTTTGGAGCCACCGAGAGGTGGAATATGTGAGATTCTGAAAACGAAAAAACCTTTCGGTAGAAAATGCTTTACTCCCGTTAAAAAAACTTATTCAATGCGAATGCAAATTAATCGGATCCGTTTTTAGCATCGCTAAGTTGAATTATTCAAACTAGTGAGATTTATATACCCGAGGGTTAATATGATTAAAATTTTGGGCATCATTATTTAGAAGTATAAGAACAGAGGTGAAAAAGAACCGAGAAGGTCCCACTTCAAGGGTAATAAACATCATAAAATCCAACCAACTTGAATCACCGAAAGTGGATAGATTTTTTTGTTGATCATTTTTACACTTTCCCCTCTAGATACTTGTTCTTATTTCAAGTTGTTTCCAAGAAAGTAAATAAAATATACTTATTTATACAGGTACAAAATGTACCCTCATTACCCCCTATGTACTCTCCTGGCTCTTACCACGACTATTTAACGCAATAATTAGTGACTGTTTTTACGGGCTCCAACTCATGACCTATAGATTATACGATAACTTCACTATTGTTATTTATATTATATTAAAAATCTTTTACCAATCAAAGTCTTAGTGCAACTGGAAGAGTTACTTTCATATAAGATTACAGATTCAAACGTGAAAATAACTTTGTATAAAAATAATATGCATGCAAAGCACTTTACGTACAATACATTCAATGTGATTGGTCCCTTCTCCAAACCTACACACAACGAAAGCCTAAGTACACTGAGCTGGCCTTTTATTAAAGATAAAAGGAACAGTCACCGGGGCTGCATTTTGGGTTTTAGCTATAGGGAGGTGAGTGGTCCAATCTAGTGTTTTTAGGTGGGGTAACAAAAGTAGGGCATAGGACCAATGGAAGAAAGAACAAAAGAGACTCAATGCCTTTATACAAGACTAATTCCAAAACAAAACTTATTTAGTTCATCTGTTCCCACACATTCCATGTGCCTTTGTTTTTCCATCTCCTCCTATAATACTCTCCTTTCTTACAATCCTTCCCCAAACAATTCAAAATAACAAAACTTTAAGCCACCCCAATTGAACATTTCCCCCTTAATTCTTCTCATATCAAGAACCAAAATGGCTCTAAAGAAATCAAGCAAACACTTTACTCAAACTGCAGCCTTCAAACAAATTATGAAAAGGTGTTCAAGCTTTGGAAAGAATGAGAATGGATACCCTGAAGATGTCCCAAAAGGCCATTTTGTAGTATATGTGGGTGAAAATAGAAGCAGATATATAATTCCCATTTCTTGGTTGATACATCCTGAATTTCAAAGTTTGCTTCAAAGGGCTGAAGAAGAATTTGGATTTAATCATGATACGGGACTTACTATCCCTTGTGATGAAGAAGATTTTTGCTCCCTAATATCAATGTTCAGATAAAAAAATTGAAGGACTTGAGTTGATGATCTTTTCTTATAAATTTTTTTACTTGGAAATTATCAGTGAGCCACCACTAAAGAGATGAAAAGTAAGACTGTGTACAAAAGATCTAATATAGTCCAACTCTTCTCTGGAGTCTGGATTATACGCACGACACCAGTTTAGTGTGTTGGGCTGTCCTTCATTGGTCAGACACGAAAGATATGACAATGGCATCAAGTGAATAGTTAACTAATCAGGAAGAAACCCCATCTAATTATTTAGGGGTGAGTTTGCACAATCACATGTACTTAATATTTTGATCAGCGATTCAGCGGTGTTAAATTTGCGCCCGTTTAAAAATTCTTGGTATTGCTGTTCATGAGATAAAAAGAGATATTTCACCATTATTATTTATGCAAGTATGCAACTGCCCGTTTGTGTTAGAATTTGCACCTGATAAATTTCTATGTGACGTTTATGAATTAATTACAAGATGAAAATTAATTCCTTATTTCTTCATTTTGGTCAAAGATAATGTATAGCAAAACAGTCTTTACAATATCAAGGCATTTGTGCCAGATTGCCTTGCATAAAAGGTTGACTCTTCATTTCAGTCAATGAGAAGATTCCCGTTATCTAAAGTTTTTTGTATGGCACTTTAATTTCTAAATACTTTTTGTCACGCGACAAAAAAAACATAACTATCAAAACTTTTTAGAAGATAATGTATTCGACTTGATTAAGGTAAATGATCACTAGAGGGCAAATGCAATCTACGTACAATGGGCTCAAGTTAACGTGAACATAGTGCTTTCATTAAAAGCTATGGAGTATTAAAATTTCGACAAATATCAAATTTTGAATATACTTTTAAGCATACAAGTTATTCATACTAAAAGCCTTAAACATTAAAATTTATCATTAAAATTCTGAATTCACCTTTCCTTTATCAAATTTAAAGTGGATGACTAAAAAGATGTATACTTCCACTAATACAAGTTAAAGCCATCAATGTACAGAGTGTAGTATGAATACAACCGACCAAATGTACTCAATAAGTAACAAGACTAACCTTGGGCTGAAAGCAGTGACGAGCTCAACAGGTACAACCCTAATATAGAGTTAACAGTACAGAAATGTAGACATGCTTTCAAGTTTATCAGTTTAAGTACAATACGGGTAAAATATGCTAAGTATGACTGAAATGAGGAACAGTAAATCACTATATCTACATGTCAATTATGCCTTCCAACTGTAATGCAACACAATGATAAAATCATATGCATATTCTCGGAGTATCAATTCTCCCATTCCTCCCAGTCACTCAATCCTCACAGTCACTCGATCCTCACAGTCACTCAGTCCTCCCAATCGCTTGACACTCACACTCGCACTCAGTAGGTACTTGCGCTCATTGCTGATAAGTTAGACTCCGGAGGAGCGGATCCTGCCAAAGCGCTAAAATTAGCCAATCATGGCATGAATCAATAAAGCATGTTGCGGCGTGCAGCCCGATCTAATAAACATCCTCATAATCAGGCCCTCGGCCTCACTCAGTCATCAATCTCTCCAGTCTCTCGGGCTCACGAATATCATGACAATCAGCCCAAATAATGATGATATGATGTATCAATATATGGCAACAGAGACTGAGATATGATATGCAAATGATAGATGTGACTGAGTACATGATTGCAAATTAAGCAAGTAATTCAACAACAACACGATTTCTGTGGATCCCAATAGTACCAGCATATAGCCTAAGCATGATTTCTAACATGAATCACAACTCAATTTCTCTAACACATGGAGAATATATGGATAATAACAAGATTATTTGACTACACAGTTCTACGGAATCGACCGAATCATAATTCCTACGGTGCACGCCCACACGCCCGTCACCTAGTATGTGTGTCACCTTAACACCAACCATATAACACGTAATTCAGGGATTCATACCCCTAGAATCAAGTTTAGAAGTGTTACTTACCTCAAACAGCACAAATCTGTACTCCTTTAAGACCTTGCCTCGCGAATCGGCCTCCGAACGACTCGAATCTAGTCACAAACAACTCGATACAATCAACACAAGCTATATGAATCAATTACATATGATTAAGCTAAGTTCATAAGTGTCATGACCCGGAATTCCCACCTTTAGGATCGCGATGACGTCTAACATTTCACTTGCTAGACAAGCCAACGTTAGAATAATCTTAAGCATTTTTTAAACAAATCCAATTAAACGGATGTCAACTACTGAAATAACTATGATGAAAATAAAATAAAGTGTGGAAAGCCATAACAACTGAAATATCTAAATACATCCCCGAATCTGGTGTCACAAGTACACGAGCTACTAGAATAATACAGATAAAGGTCTGAATGAAAGTAAAATTGTCCGATAGAATATACACAGCTAAGATAAAGTAGAAGGGGACTTCAGAGCTGCGGACATCGTGCAACTATACCTCAAATCTCCTCTGGGTAGCTGAATCCAAACAAGTCTACGGTATGCCACTGGGACCAACTCCAGTATCTGCACAAGAAGTACAGAGTATAGTATGAGTACAACCGACCCCATGTACTTGTAAGTGTCGAGCCTAACCTCGACGAAGTAGTGACGAGGCTATAACAGAACACCTACGTAAACAACCTGTACAAGTATATACATATATGAAGCAGTAACGAACACAATGATTAGCAATGTACAATTTGAGTGGGAACATGCGAAAGGGAAAAGATACGATAATTACGGCAGGAGAAATATTGCGTAGCATTCAAATAAATCATCAAAAATAAAGAAAGGTAGCTGATAGTATAAAAATGGCACGACACCCCCATTCGTGCTTTTACTCTCATCCTTACCATGAAATGATGTCATAAGTAACATGAAATGGCACGGTATCACTCTTCGTTCTTTAACTCTCTTCCTTGCCACAATATAATGAATAAATAACATAAATGGCAAGGCATCACCATTCACCATTCGTGCTTTAACTTTCTTCCTTGCCATAATATAATGAATAAATGATATAAATGGCACGGCATCACCCTTTGTGCTTTAACTCTCCTCCTCACTTTATAAATCAATAAATGGTAATATAAAAATGACACGACATTACCCTTTGTGCTTTTACACTCTTTCTTACCGCGGAACAAGGATTATATAACTTCGAAAAAATAATTTAAATGCGGGGATTTATATTTATCGTTCAATATGATACCAGGGTACCAACCTCAACTTCCAAAATATTTAACAATTATAAAATAAGCAATAAATACAGAAAATAATGATCAAACAAGTATTAGCCTAACCCAAGCATAGATATTGTAATTAAATAGGCAATAAATCATTAAAAAAAAAAAGTTCCACCCGCATGCTTTAACTCAATAACAACGCATAAGTACTCGTCACCTCACATATACGTTGTACCCAGACATTTAATCACGTAGAAAATAGGCAAAAAAATCCTATTCCCTCAACTCAAGGTTAATCACGATACTTACCTTGCTTCGCAACTCAAGCAATCACTCGACCACGGCCTTTCCTTTCGAACAAGTCTTCGAATCTAGTCACAAACAATTCAATATACTCAACACAAGCTGTAGGAATCAATTCCATATGAAAATGCTAAGTCTCCAAATTAAAATCTGAAAAGTCAACTCAAAAATGAACATGGGGCCAACGTCTTGGAACCCGACAAAATTTATGAAATCTGAATACCCGTTCCGATACGAGTCCAGCTATAAACAATTATCGAATTCCGATATTGAATCACCCTTTAAATCCTCAATTTTCAATTTTGGAAGATTTTACAAAATCTCATTTTCTTCCATTCAATTAACTAATTAATGATGTAAATAAGTATGAAATCAAGAAATATAACTAATTTTGGATAAAGAACACTTACCCAACTCAAACTCGTGAAAATCCCCTCAGAAACTCATCTGAGCTACTCGAATAACAACAAGTCCCGTAACATAACGCGGACCTACTCGAGGTCTCAAACAACGTCAAAACTACAAATCGCACCTCTTTAAATTTAATGAATTTATGAAATTTTTAATTCTATAACTCGCGCCAAAACATGTCAAACCAATCCGGAATGACCTCAAATTTTGCATGTAAGTCCCACATGAAATAACAGAGCTAGTCCAACTATCGCAATTGGAATCTGAGCCTGATATCAACAAAGTCAATTTACGGTTAAACTTGGGAATTCTTTAATCCTTTAAATTTATAGTTTTCAACAGATGGTGATAATTCAAGCTAAGAACCTTAGAATTCAATTTCGGGCATACGCCCAAGTCACAAATCACGATACAGACCCACCAGGGCCGTCAAAACATTAATTCGGGATCTGTTTTCTCAAAATATTTACCGTAGTCAACTCAAATGAGTTGTAAAACATAATCTCAATTTTTTATCAATTTTTTCACACAAAAACCTCTCGGATTAAGACACGGACTGCACACGCAAATCAAGAAATGCTGAATGGAGCTAATCGAGGTCTCAAAAATACAGAAATGAAGGTTAAAATTAAAGATGACCTATCGGGTTATCATATTAAGCAAAAGTGAAAAAGTCAACTCAAAAAGTCAAACTCGGGCCCACGTCTCAAAATACGACAGAATTGTAAAATTCAGAACACCCATGCAACCACGAGTCCAACAATAGCAAAATTACTCAAATCCGATCACAACTCGACATTCAAATCCTCAAATTAAAGACTATGAAGTTTCTACAAATTTTCCAAATGTTTCCAACCCAAAACACTAATTAAATGATAAAAATAACGATAGATTCATGCCATTTAACCAAATCTGAGTTAGAATCAATTACCTCAATCACTTCCTTGAAAATCCCTCCAAGAATCGCCTCAATCCGAGCTCCCAAAATCAAATTATGAAATATAAATCTAACCCTCATTTTTGATATTTAAAAGTCTGCCCAGATGATCTTCTTCGCGATCGCAATCTCATGATCATGAAGCACAAATTCACGGCTGCCAAAAATAACTCTTTGCGAACGCGAATTACCTCATGCGAACGCGACTCACAAGCTTAGCACACTACGAGATCGCGAACCTCCTAACGCGATCTCGAAGAACAAATCGCGTGAACCCCTGCTTCTTCCTTTCCTCTTTGCGAACGCGACTTAACCCACGCGTTTGCAATTCACTTACTCCCTAAGCTTCACGACCAAAAAACCTCTCGTGAACACATAGAATAAAATCCCAGCTGCATACAACATTCTTCACGATTGCGATCCTCCTCTCGCGATCGCATATAAGGAAACCAACACCAACAAAAATCAGCAGTCTTCAAGTTCCGAGATGCGCTGAACATGGTCTGAATCCCACCGAGACCTCCGGGACCTCAACCAAACATACCAACAAGTCCTAAAATATCATACAAACTCTCTCGAAGCGTCAAA